TGTAATCCCAGCACTTTGGGAGGCCGAGACGGGCGGATCATGAGGTCAGGAGATCGAGACCATCCTGGCTAACACGGTGAAACCCCGTGTCTACTAAAAAAAAATACAAAAAACTAGCCGGGCGCGATGGCGGGCGCCTGTAGTCCCAGCTACTCGGGAGGCTGAGGCAGGAGAATGATGTGAACCTGGGAGGCAGAGCTTGCAGTGAGCCGAGATCACACCACTGCCCTCCAGCCTGGGCGGCAGAGCAAGACTCCGTCTCAAAACAAACAAACAAACAAACAAAAACCCCCAGAAAACATAAAAAATTAGTCGGCTGTGGGAGGGCCTGTAATCCTGGCTACTCGGGAGGCTGGGGCAGGAAAATCGCTTGAACCAAGGAGGCAGAGGCTGCAGTAAGCCGAGATCGCACCACTGTGCTCCAGCCTGGGCAACAGAGCAAAACTTCGTCTCAAAAAAAAAAACCCCAAAAAAACCAAAAACAAGAAAACAAAACAAAAACGCCGCTGTGACTGCTTCAGGCAGGTGCCACTCCACGGGGCAGAGTACGGCAGCCCCACAGGTCTGACCTGGTCAGGTCAGGCTTCAGAGCTGCCTCGCTTTCCTGCCAGGCCCTGCCCACTTGCTAAGGGACGGCCAGTGGCCAGGGCCTCTGCCCGACCCTGCTCCATCCCCATGCTGCCCAGCAGAGCTGCAGATCTTCCACCGAGAGCTGCAGATTTTGACCCTGTCCCCAGGACTGCTCCCCGGCCACAGTGACGACCTCGCTCCCAGCTATTGGTGACAGTGAGGTTACCTAATTACTCACCAGTTCTCCTTTATCCCCAGGAAGACCGTCAGAACCTGCAATGCCCTGAAAACAATACACCCCAAAGTTAAAAGAGCTGTTCATGCATGAGTAGAGACTTCATGCCTTAAACTGCCTGCTCTCAAGCCTCCGTGGGTGTAATGTTCATCCTGAGGTCCAGGCCAAAAGCCCAGGCCCCAGGGTCTCACTGCCTTTTAATCAGCTCCAAAGGCAGCCCCGGACCCTGCCTTGGGAGACCTGCAGGCAGAGGCGGGGCCAAAAAAGGGAAGACATTTGTTTGCATAATGAGGCTTTTCTGTCAAGCAGAACCGAGGGTGGGGTTCGATGGCCGCAGGCCCTCCAGCTGTATGGAAAGGCCGTGTGCCCAGAGTGAGAGCAGGCACTGCAGGGGAGCCACAAAAACCATGGCCCCACTCACCCAGAGCAGGCAGTGCAGGAGGGCAGGGCAGCCACGACCATGGCCCCAGCCACCCCGACACTTTTCCAGAGAGAAGTGCTTGGAAGAGCAGAAATGCATTTCGAATCTGCCTGCAAAACACACACGCAGAGCCTAGCCCCTTCCCTCTGTTCGTTCTCCAAAAGGACGGCAGGAAACACCTCTGTCCTTTTGAGGGTCCCTGTTGGTGCCTCCTGTACCAGAAGTAGCTTCTGTTGCACCCAGGGCCATGCAGGGACACTCTGGCCAGCTGTCTGCACCCAGGAAGGCAGCGGGGGATGCTGGGGCATGCCTGGGGGCTGGGTGTCCAGTGCTGTCGTCGCTGTCCTAAGCAGGAATGGCAGGAGCCAGAAAGGGCGACCGACGGAGACAGCAAGAGGAGAAAGGAGGCTCAGCGTCCCGAAAACACAGCCAGGGCCAGAGCCAGGGCAGGCAGGGTCTGGGAGAAGCTGTGCAGCTTTGCCATCATTCCTTTTGCCCCGGCCTGCGCCCAGCTCACCTGGTCTCCCTTAGGGCCTGCGGTGCCTCCCGGACCCTGGGAGTGGAGAAAAGGCTCTGGATTAGAGGAATGACAAGAATCCCTAAAGTAAGCCTGCCCTGGGCCCAGGAATGGTAAACACCTCCCCACATCCCCATCTGTGCTGTACAAAGGGCTTCTGTGAACACAGCCTCCCAGACACAGGCCCATAGACCAAGCTCAGGTTCACAGCCTCTGGGCCCGACGGCTCTGTCCAGTCTCCCCTTGTGGGTAGTGCAGTCCCGTCAGGTTTGGCATTGTCTGTAACACCCGTGAATTCGTGCGGGTATTTTTGTACAATCGCAGGATAATTCCATCACAGTGGAGTCAAAGATGCAAAAGCTCATCTAATCACCTTCCCCTGGGATTGTGAAATTAGGACATGTCCGGGAGTTGCTATGAACCCCTTTAAAAAACGTCCACGTGCTCACATGGCCGTGTAAGTGAGAACTTGCCCAAGGGGCAGAAAAGCAGGAGGCTTTCCTGTGAGTTTAAAGCAAAAGGGAAATTCAGCCACCAGGCCCCACCCACACCTGGGACAGGCGCAGTACCCGCAGGGCAAGTGCCAGCCCTGACATCTCTCGGAGGCCCTGAGGCTGCTGGCATGGCCCCCACCTCTAGAATGTCCTGCCTGGAGGCTAAAAAACAGCCCGCTATTCCCCATGGGGCGGTGGTGTCTACAGCCCTGGCCATCACCCTGGAATGACCATCACCCTGGAGGCACGAGCATCTGCAGCTGTGTCCTGGAGGCTTCTCGGGATTCACGTCTAAAAAGGGGTCTGTCTGCCGGGCAGAGGCGGCCACAGCAGGCACACGAGGTCCCCAGGGACCTGGCGGAGCGTGGCTGGGGCCCAGACCAGACCCATAGGCTCCTCCCAGTGAGCTGGGGCCCTGGGCAGGCCATGTCCCCCTTCTGCCCGGACCCCAAGGAGCCGACGCTGCAGCTGCTGCAAGCCCAGCAGGAAAAAGTCTTGACGAGGTAGAAACTGTGACTGTTGTGGTCACTTGGGACTTGGTGTTCAAACCCATTTTATAGCAGCGCAATCCTCTGTCAATGGTGCCTCAGCAGACACCGCAGGCAGGAGCCGGTCTGGCTCTCGGAGCCTCAGCCTCCACGCCAGTCCTGAGGAATGAGCACTGCCTGTGTGCAGGTCGCCCGCCAGGTCCTCTGCCAGGCCTCTACACAGGGCAGGAGGCAGAGCCCAGGCTCCTGCAGCCACCCACCCACAAGGAACACCACATGGAAGGTCAGAGGGGCCGAAGGCGCCACAGTTGGGGCCCTGATGCCACTGCCTCCACCATGCAGGGAGACACTGCCCATGGTCAGAATTGCCACCGGGAGCTATGAGGGCCTCTCCCTGTCTGCGTCCCGGGGCACTGTGGTAGGGGGTTGGGGACTGTGGTAGGGGGTTGGGGACTGTGGTAGGGGGTGGAGACTGTGGTAGAGGTGGAGACTGTGGTAGGGGGTTGGGGACTGTGATAGGGGTGGAGACTGTGGTAGGGGGTGGGGACTGTGGTAGGGGGTGGAGACTGTGGCAGGGGTGGAGACTGTGGTAGGGGTGGAGACTGTGGCAGGGGTGGAGACTGTGGCAGGGGGTGGAGACTGTGGCAGGGGTGGAGACTGTGGTAGGGGTGGAGACTGTGGCAGGGGTGGAGACTGTGGCAGGGGTGGAGACTGTGGT